AAAATTCAATGTTTAAATTTTAACCCAGCCTTTTGTGTTGACTTCATGGCTCATTTTGTAGCATTTAAGCCTATAATAGGATGCCTAGACCTGTTTTTATTTTTATTTTTTTTCGCCCTGTCGCTTCATATTTTTTCTGAAAAAAATCCGAGAACCAACAAATCAAATTGGTGTGGCCTTGCTAGTACAACAGTACAAGGCTAGTGTGATAGTAACTTGCTGTCCTACAAAAAGGAACGTTTAAAAAAGTACACTTTTTTAATGAAGATTTACAAAATCAGTCTTAATTCAAGACGGCCAGTCAGAGTATGCAGTGACTGCAAACTAAATGTTTCTAGACTGTAGGTTTTACAGACAAAAAAAATTTCTTCTATTTTTTTACAGACAGCTCAGGTACTGGTATACATTATTGCCTTGAAATTGACATCCTTGTTTCAGGAAAGAAATCCACACTGCACAATATCACTACTCTGTGTAAATATGATTTTAAACTGTTCTTTGTAAATCTATAGCAGGCAGGACAAGTCAATGATAAGATTTGTAATTTTTAACTGAAAAAGATTATAGAGCAAAAAAAAGATTCTTGTAGGGTTCTTGTTTCTTGAAAGAAATCCACACTGCACAATGTCACAGCTCTACTGTGTAAAATTAATCTGATTTTAAACTGTTCTTTGTAAATCTATAGCAGGCAGGACAAGTCAGTGATAAGTTTTGTAATTCTTAACTGGAAAAGATTATAAAGCAAAAGATTCTTGTAGGGTCACAATTTCTACAACGATGAAATGTGGAAAACACAAACGTGAAAAGACATTTATCGATGAGTTCGTTTTAGAATCGAAGACAATTCTGCACATCCGATATATTATGGGGAAAATCTCAAATGAGTCAGTCTCTGCTCTAAGTAAAGATGAGTTGAATATGAAAGAAATTGCTGTTAATCGAACAATGCATTTAAGATTTCTGCAAAAGTTTTGAATTGGACTTCATAATTACATCCATAGAAAATTTTTCTTTGTCA